ACACCCTAACCTATTAGTCAAACATTATTTTATTTTATTTATTTATTATTTTTTATTATTATACCCTCACTGGGGGCTGAGTCCCCCTAAAATGAAAATCCTAGAATCGCCCCTGAACAGCAGTTATCAAATGACTATATTATATTTTCTCAGGTGGGTGCTGGGTTCTTATCTATTGGATTTCAACGTGTTGCAGAATAACCATCATTATTAAGTGTGACTCCTCAAATCTTTCTCACTCTTTCCCCATTGGATACGGTTAAAACACGGGTCCATAGGTGCAGCGTTGGTCAGTGTGAATGTCGCTGTACGGCCATCACCGCACTGGAAGCTGTTGGGGTACAGGTGTCCACGGTCATATCCGGTGTCACTGTAGTCACTGCTGATGGCTTGATTTCCTTTATAATCGTTTTGATTTCTTCTATTCTCACGTTCCATATAAAAAGTTCCAGAACCAGGTACGGAAATCTACAGAAGAAAGGTTATATTTAAATGGTTAGTTTGATGTTTTATTATTTGTGAGAAAAGACTTGTTTGTTTGTTTGTTTCAAATATTGTGTGGAAAAAGGTTTTGTTCTTACTTTCCACATTGTCTCTCAGTGGACATATTTAAATGTTTATAGTACAGTATACAAATGTTCCATAAAGCAGCGTTTATCTAATGTATTTTATATATTATTTGGAATGACCCAACAGAATGTAGATCTTAAACTGCTAATGAAAGTCTTTTGTTAGACAGTGAAGTACATAGTTACCTGTGGCTCTAAATGCCAGACGTTTGGACGTCCACTGTCGCTTGAGCATGCAGGATCAAATCTGTAGGCGCTGTAGAGAGGAATCCTGTGATAAACCGAGTACAGCGTAGCGTAATAGTAAATTCCTTTTGATGTCCACTGACAGATTTTCTTGGCATTTTGATCCATTCCTCCTGGTTCTGTGTTTCTGTAGAAAAACTCTTTACACTCAAAGGCATCGGATACTTTTGCCTGAGCACTGAATGCTCTCAGCACAATACATGTGAGCAGAGCCAGAGCAAACATGGTGTGAAGCTGCTCTTGTGTTATAGAGCAGAGACACCAGAAGCTGCTGCTTTAAATACACTGGCAAGTCCATGATGTTGTTGAGGGTGTGACTGAAATTAACAAATGAGAAGAAATGAAGAATATGATTGAACATGCTTATGGGAGGAATTTTAGAACTCACATGTAAAGAAAACTTGATTTCACACAAAATACAGCAAGGATCTCCAACCTTATTTATTTTGAGAAAAGAAGTGGCTGAGAGCTACTCATGTTATACCATACATAAATCTATTATCTAAAATAATGTATCCTAACTCTCAATTGAACAGTACAAAATGATATGCACCTAAAAGAGTTTTTGTATACATGTCACCCTTTAATGTCAAAGAAAAGAACAGAATCAGAGAATACAGGTCTTTATGGAAAAAAGTACTGCATATTATGCTGTAGTTGTCTACACATAACTAGTAGTTGATTTTATAGTGCACATAACTAGAGATGAAACAGTATGAAAATTTCACGATGAAAATATCATAACACGATTATAGAGACAAAAATGAGCACGGTTATCATAGTATTGTTAAAATGTGCTGGAAATGTTAAAGTACTGATAAAACTTGGTGAAATGATTTAAATGAGTAGTATGTCGAAAACCAACAAACAAAATTAGCCGCATTTTACATAGGGTTGGGTATCGTTTGAATTTTATCGATTCCAATTCTTTTTGATTCCAATAAGTTCGAGTTAGATACTTTTTAGGCACCGACCGAATTGCCTCAATACCAT